TTAAGGTACAAATTCACAAAGAATAGTGTTCACATTATTTCTCAGTCGTATCTTGACAATATGCCTAATGTCACGTAAACATGCCCTGAAATGCTGGAAAGTTTGTGGGTTGTTAATTTCCTTCTAGTTTCAGAGGGTAGGGAGAGGGGTAGTGAGCAAACAAACATGCGGTCGATGTTTGTATTCTACGTGTAACTTTTTCCCCTCATTCAAATTGTCATACAATAAAAATGTCTCTAATTATTTTGTAAGGAGTTAACAGTTTAGAATTCAGATTTTAACAATCAATTCTTCAAAGTTGATAATTCCAGGTTGTAGGACAATGAATTATTGTGTTTCAAGGTGATACTTCTCAAAACATACTAATAATGTATTCCTGTTGTTCTCTTCAGGTTCCAATGTTCTTAGATTAGGAAAAATGTAGAACACCAAGGACTCACAGCAAATGGCAAAAGTCATTTTCAAATTAGTTCACCCGTATGAAGAACTTCCCCCGATTATTGAGAGAAAATCACTAGGATGATAGATTATTCATAGATTCCAGAATGATGAACTATTTGGTGAGGAACTTCGACGTGCAAATCACATCGGATTTCATAAGTTAACAATGATGTATTGACAGATGTAAAATGTCCACTGAGCAAAATCACCTGACGAGATGATCCCTCATACTCCAGATTGTACACTACTTCTTCCTGACTGTTTCAGCTATCGTTGTTTTTCTTGCAACAACATTAATCATTCTTATGCAATTCAGTTTGTCATTTTAACTGCCTTATGATTCATTTCATCAACATCGCCATTATGCTGTATTCTGTGATGACATATTTTGATTTTCTTGATTATATTGTGTACTTATTCTCATTTGTTCACTATTATCCTACTTTTTATTAGCATTACTCTGACATTATCACAGTGATTCGTTGATGAGAAATGCATGCATCATATGTTCAAGATGTCTACTTTCCATTTTCTCCAGAATTCAGATAAATCAGAAAATATTGTATCAAGGTTCACATCTTGAATTGGACTTCATGTTTGAAATTGTCAGAGTCGACATGATATTTGTGATGTTGAGTTCCGTCCTTTTTTGCTTCAGTTACAAGCCAATGTGTCGCAAAATTGTCATTTGTTTTTCCCAACGATCATCTTCACTTCTTTATTCAGTGCAGTGTACATTGAATTGAGCTCCTCTGTCTGTTGCCTATCTCCAAATTGAGTCATATTCTCTTTCATCAACTCTCTCAACCCTCTTCAAACAGTTTCCGGGTATCCTCTGAGATCCACTCTTTGTCATATTTCCTCTTTCTCCTTAGAACATTCGCATACCTATCCTTGAAAATCACCTTCAGAGAGTTAGTTGCAATGTCGTTCCACGCAGGTTTCCTCGTTGATACTATGTAGTGTCTCCGACTTTTGCTCTGATATGATCTTTAGTGAAGGTATCGCCTGTAGTATTGTCCTTCAATTTCTGAATAATGAACTTGAATTATAGTGGCCTGTCTCCAGTTGTCCTGATATATAAAATAACCAAATGAAATGCAGTAAAAGTATCTATCATTATAATCATAGCGAGAAATCAACTGGTTAAACAACTATTGTCCATGCAATGTACGGATGTTCAATGAGTCTATAAAATAAATTATAGGATTGGTAGGCAAATAAGAAACGGTACTTAACACGATAACATCGCCTGGTTAACTAGCTCACTAGTATTCTAGCCAGTCCCAGGACCCGGCAAGGAAGGAGCGTTGGACATGGGGCTATCGACCCCACAAAACACTAAATCTTTCAAATCGCTAGAGAAACTTCAACACTATAATAAAGGTTTTTGTATTTCCTAATGAATGAAAAACAAAACAATGTTGTTTTTACTGAGGTTTCGCCGTTTAATGCTACTAGCTTTATCAAAGTATTATATATATTATATGTGTATATTATATAGTATAAAACTTCAACACTGATAAAATATATTAAAAATCGAAAAAATGCAAAGAACGATCTTATTCTTCGCTGGAGTTGAAGAGAGGAAATGACACAGCGTGCTGGTGAAAGCCAGCCTTCGGGAATCCAGTCAACTAGCCAATGTGTCTTCTCTCAATGAAAGCAAGAGAAAGATAGGTATGTGGGATCTTCGTACAATGCACGTGACTGGCAAGGCTGCTCAGGTAGCCATAGAGATGCGAAGAAAGGCCTTAGAAGTACTTAGTACCTGCAAAAGCAGATGGAATAGATGTGGGTTGACAACATTGTGAACGGGAGAGATAGTAATCTACTTAGCCAGTGTTGTCTTTGTCATTTAGTCTGTTTGACATGTATTCACCAAACACCCTTCAAGAACATCAACATTACATCAGTCTGACCGATATAGGCTGAAATCCTCAAGCCCGCCTCATTTCGAGATACAGCGAATACAGCTCACACATATTGCACAAGGATTTCTGTTTAGATCCACTGATCAAATGTGTCGTTTTCCCTACTGAGGTTAGTGCCCAGTTTGGCTGAATGTCTAGCTATTTAACATATCTTCCCCATCAGCATTCAACGGTATCACAATAAATTTTCAAATGTGTCAGAGCGATTTGGACGCTCGCCGACCATGCACGTTTTCAAAGTGTTCGACGCCCTGCCTACTCAAATATGATATCCATAGCCAGACCGCATAATTTGGGCTACCCATATCACATGCTGAAAATTCCATACTTGTACCGAAATATGGTACAATAAAAAAAATGTATAATAATTATTGGAAGTCTTATTGAAATTTGCATATCAGCATATTTTTGCACTTCGTATCAACTGCAGGTATCACAGCTGCTAGAATTCAACATGAAATAAAACTAGCGTTGACTTAGAAACATTGTGTAATGGCCTAAACTCTATTTGCTGATTGTCTGATCGCATTCACGAAAATCATTCAAGACCAATAATAATTAGTGGCATTCCTTCATTTATACTGTGGATTACACCCGCCTGAGTTTCTTCATAATTCAGGTCTACAAATTCCACAATAAGTCTAGCAATTCTCTGAGTGGGATTTAAACGTCAAATGCAGTTTGAATCTGCTGTCAACAACTTTTGCGTTAAAGTGTCAATTTAGATAATAAGAACATATCAATACAGGTAAAATGAATGATTTTCGTTGTAATTCTACCACCAGCAATCACCTGATGTGCTGTGAGTGATTTAATTGCAAGAGTAATTGTATTGTACACACTGAATAAATCAAAAACTTACGGTGAGTATAACTAATGCGACTGAAACTGCTCTCAGTATGCAGAGTACCTGAGTTTGAGAAATGCAGTAAAAAATGACAAATTCACAAAAATATACACAAGTTTTGTTACTGTTTACGAATTCTCATACTGAAATATTTAACAAAATAATGAATGCTAAGATGTAGCCAAAAATATTTATCGAAACATGCTAAAAATTTTGTTCGATACAGTGATGGGGAATTATAATCCATATTCAATGACAAATATGATATTAAATAGGAAATGCTAGTGTTGCACGCCCAATAGTGCACATCAAAATGCCACTAGTTTTATGGGTGAATGGGAAGTATATGACCGTCTGCTACAGCATTGCACAAAATCTACTAAACACTTCTGTCAACCTGCTTCTTATCACCAACCCTCAGTGAAGGGTTAACTAACTAGATTGAGGACAAACGTGTGAATTTGGTGAATAAGCTTAATAATTCATAAGGGAACGAGTCAGTCGAAATTCAAATATGTCGCAGCAAACTCGCATCTCAGTAAAGTGAGCAGTCTACATATCTGATTTGTTTTGTTCAGCTGGTATTTCACTATCTATTGCATTTGTCATTATCACGATGTAAATCGCAGGTAGGTAGCAGAGTATTTCAGAATGGTGTGAGGATTTTATTTTATTGCATAAACATAATGTGCAAATCTTTGCAACTTAAATTGGTGTGATTTACAGTAAATTTTCCTCCGGTCAATAAATTCCAAATATCTGCAACGACGACTAAAACTGTAAGGAGGCCTGATATAGTACCGAAGAATATGAACCCCTTTGTATTCAGTGGTGGCAGGTTGAAAGCCAACAAGACAACCATCACTGTAGTCACAATCGTTTCAGCCAATGATATCAGAGCACATTTCCATTCAATAAATGCGACCACAGTGGCGAAAACCGCAGATGACAAAATGGCCTTCAAAAAGAAATCAACAATAATACTAATTAGGAATTAATGTGTGGTAAATGAAAACATATTAGGCAAATTAGGCAAATTTCAAATGCAATATTTCCTACTTCCATTATGACAGATAGCCGCTATTATTATCGAAAAATTCAGAAAATAACAAGTCGTTTCACACGAAAGCAGTTTACGTGTTTGACAGCATTAATGAGACATTCCTCACTTGTGCGTAAATATTATTTATGAAGTGAAAACAAAGTGAAGCATAAGATTCACCATACTGTGGAATTTAGTACTGTAATCATTATCGGTTACCATATTATATTGGAGATAAAAGGTGCTTGAATAACCATTTCGGTGCATCAGGATGAAATAACAACGCGAATATTAAATAACCTCATGAATGTATGATGAATTAGAATGAAGCCGAGTGTGGTTAGAATCTGAATTGAGCAGAGAAGTTTATCCGCCGTTTAAGCGAACCACATATATGAAAGAGCGTTTCAGTACATTATGGTCAGAATATATCCACTTTTAATATGCCTGCATCGTCCTTATTACTTTATGAATTCACAAATGTCTGGAAAGCTGGTTTCCCTCTTACTGTCATATATTTTACCATAGCTTTTGTTAGTAAAACAGATCAGTTATTGTTATGGCTGCTATGGAGATAGAAATGGTATGCATCAGGAACTGTACAATCAATTTCATTTACAAGGTAACAATTGCCATAGACATTTTTGAAATGACACTGTCATCATTTCATTTTCCATACAAAAACTTAAACCAATTCTCATTGTATCAAACAGGGTAATGTAATACTGATACTTACTATAATCCAAAGCACTATACAGACGGTGACAATATTCCACTGAATTTTCGTCATGAATGCAAATACAAGAAATAGAATGGTGACGACTGACCTAAAATGAATCCACAAACATCACATATTCATCCTAACCAGCACATAATTGAAATGAATCATTAAGTGATAATATCAATAGCAGTCACCATTTTGAAACCTTCCCTGTTTTGTTAATGGAATACTCTACACTTGAACCATGGTTTATAAGATCAGTCTTTGGTTATGAAGACAGATCTAACAGTCTCATTTGATCATTGTGACAGAGCGCAGTATCGATTTTGTATTGAAAACAGAACGCAATGATACACTGTTTCCTCCACACGCATTGACTATGGTTTCAGCGTGAAGATATGAAAATTGTTGAAGACTATCTTTCTGTATTTACCAATTAAAATCATGCATATTTATACGAAATCAAGGTCTCTGATGGTCGCGAGAAATGTGCTTTGCAGAGATATCTGTAACGGTAGCATATGCGAAGGCAGATTTCAAAATAAAACTGAAAGCCTAACATACAAGGTTCATGATACTTATCCTCATTTCACTGACACTAGTTGAGGTGAGTTCAATGGAAAAATTGTATAGCCTAAAAGGTGTTGTGAGTTCTAGGTGAATGATAAATCTTGTGAGTCAGTGGCTTATAAATGAATTACACTCCTCATCTTTTTCAACAATAGTTAAATTGAATTATAATTGAAAAGGTTCAATAGATAACTTACATTATGGTTAAGACCAAGCAGAAATGTTTCTTTAAAAACTCTGGAATACTTTTCCTGCAAAGCAAGATACGATTTCATTCTTTTCTTTAACCAAACCTTACACAAACACAAACAAGACGACCAAACTCACTGTCATCAGTATCAAGAGCACCATATTGACTATTAACTGAGAATAAAACAGCTTATTTAACAAGTTCTGCTATTCTTACCGAAATATAGAATCTGGGAAAAGATTTCTCTAGTTCCAGACTCCTTATTTTTGAACTCACGAAAGATGCAACGAAACCTTCCATTCTTGATTAAATTGAAATCTGTAAGTAGAACTAAATGTGACGACAGAATTAAAAGCATTCAATAATGTGCGAGTGTAGGTGTCGAACATAAGGCTGATAATGTTAAACTTTAAATATATTTTGAAAACAGCATTATTCTTAAGTGAATAAATATGATCATTGTTTCCGACATTACACTTTTCAAAACATTGAAACAGTGCTTGGAAAAAATTCGTCATTTACACCTAATTGTCAATTCTGATAGGAATGCGCTTCAATGGATTGTGAAACCTGAATACAACTTTGATTACATTTTGAAAACACGAAAGTAATCATGAGAAACTGGCACAACTATATGCATTTCCCATAAGAATGAGATTATTCACATTTTGGAAATAGTCGATACGCATAAATAATACGTTGGTTCTTGTCTTAAAGGAAATAAAACCCGTCATCTATGATCAAAATTAGACTATAATCGATACCATCTATTCAACCATACTCAAGTTAACTCAAGAATCAATTGATTCAAACATAACAAGCAGAGAGGACATGAAAGTAATTCACTCACCTGAAGTAATGTGTAGCTTCACACGTTTGAGTCTTAGAAATGATTAAGATTGTTTGGCATATATATGTATATTCATATACTTGCTTTGTTTATGATTATAGAAATCAATATTGAGCATACCAGGGATCAAATTCCGATTAGATTCTGAACGATTTTCATAAAATCTTTATTTACATTAAAGTGAAACGTTGGAATGAACCACAACATCATAGTTTAAGTATTGCTGAAGTTTTTCAAGCGGAATATAAGCTATCAATGGCTCATAGGTTACTTCAAATCGAAGAAGTTATTTGTGTTTTTCATACATTTGACTTTTCAGACGAAACTAAATCCTGGGAAGAAAAATCAGTGAATTTATTTTAGCGGATACCGAATGATAATTTGTAATCAATTTTTTGATTAATTAAGGCGAAGGTTTAAGTCATTCGTAAAACCCCTATCAAACGATATATCCAAAATATGCTATAGATCACAAAAATGTACTACGTACAATTTGTAAACCTCACACTGTAAGGTGTCTATACTGTATTTAGTCAAATGCTCTGTCAATACGGGTCAAGATGGACAAAATATGACATTGTCAAGTGTGATTCGCATAGCTACTCCGGTGAAATTGAACTAGATTAGAATAAACAGCATTCAAAGGAGAATGAAACACCAGGTATTATTATTGCCTTAGGTTCCTAGTGGAATAGAGGGCTTCAACAATACTTCTCTACCTTTTTATTTGGTGCTGTCCTCTTCAGCTGGGTCCACAATCGCCCTTAATCTCTGATCCCTTTATCACGCAACCTCTTCCATGTCACCCTCACATGACCCGCTTGTTGCTTCAGAGTGGGATTCCACTCAATTGATTGTCGGCGCGCGATTTCATTTGATGGCAACCACAAAGTCTGTTTGATTCATTTCCATTTTGTCCTACATATTTGTTGAACAGTCGGCTATTGGTTGCCTTGTTTTCACAGTTTTCTGTTGCTAATTCATTACGGTCTGCTATTTTGTATTCAGTATAGAGCCAGCGAAGGCAGCTAGCTATTGATACAAGTCTGCAGCATATTGGAAATTCTTTTCATCAGGCACTGGAAAATTTTCTGACTCGTCTAGCAGAACTAGCTGACTTCACATTTGTGTTGAAAATCATTATCTTGTTCTTTTTGCTTGATGAGTGCAGATTTTCAAACTCATTTCAGGCTGATAAATGCGTATATCGCCTTTTCTGATTCTGAAGTTGACATATTCATCCTTTCAGCATGCGGTTGAAACCGCATTTCCTAGATAAGTGAAGAAAGTCATCTCTGTCGAATGTCTCCTGTCGCTGGTGACTGGTGCTGGTTTTTTTGCCGGTGGTATTTTCTTATCTTCGTCATCTCCATCTTACTTTGTTCACTTGCAGTTTTGTCTTCTTCGGCTTCTTCTCCAGCCAGTTTTTGGTTTTCCTCTGGAAGTATTATGCAGCCAATATTGATTGTACACTGAGTGATGGAAAGTTACTGGTAAACGGAATTTCCTAATGAGGTGGACAACAATTACTCATATTATATACTGGTAATAGACAGTATGAAGTTAACCCAAAATTGAAGTCTGACAAAAATTATATTAGGAAGAAATCAACAATGACCAAGCAACTCAAAGTGAATTCATGTTTCTGAAAAAATTGCCATAATGAGCATACATCTTGGAAAATCTAGTAAATCCAGTAGAAAATAAAATAAAATTTTTCATCACGGCTCATTTCCATCTCCATTCTTATAATAAAAGGTACTTAAATAAATCAAGCCATCTTCAACATAATACAAGCTAAACTCACTTTGTTTTGTTCACCACAAATGTGCACTTATCAAAAAATCTAAAGAATACCTAGGTATTGGCAGAGTGGCTGCCTAGAGGCACATTAAACAAGTAGGCAAGAAGCGGTCTTATTAACCTCAGAGGTAAATGTGAAATTTGAATAAGACAACCATAAGAGAATCAGAGCGGAGAAGTGTGTTTATTACTACACCGGCTAGTTTCGAATTGTGCAGATGTTTATGGAGGCTGTTGTAATATGGCATAATTAGCATTATATTTTTATTTTTAGTGTCTCAGTCAGCTCGAAAGTTAATGATAGTTCCGTTCGCTTATTATTCGTCTGATGACATTCTCGTGGAAATGTATCAGCAATCGTATTTCCAACGGTAGTTAGATCCTTCAACATGTCATTGTTACTCTTCATAAACACACACATACACACTTTTCCTCTCCTCTGTGATTACGACTGCTTTGGACAGCTATTTTCCGTTCATTTTTGAGGTGATAATTCGCCCTCCTCGATGTCTGTACACGACTATAATATCTTCACACCTTGAGAATCAAGGTATTTCACGCACAACTGCGTTCTCCGGATATGAATAAATATTCATGTGTACTGTCATGACACTTCTTGGTGCTGTGAAGCTCACGGAGACAAATGAAGACAGACTACATATTGACGACTTAGACGTGTTGATTAAAACCCATGCAATATGGAGGAAGAGCCGAAGGAGAATTATAAATTATCAGCAGGGTCTTCTACTGTGTGTAAAGGGTAATGATACTCATATGCAGATGTGCTTGTCATGCCTACTATTTAGAGTTTTCGGTGGTGCAAAAGGAGAGTAAGCCTCAGTCATGTGAAATGTAGGAGCTTTGGCGGACCTCGAAAATAAGTATTTGAAAACAATGAACCTTCTAAATAATTTTCCATTTATTTTTTTCTCTTCCGGTAGGTTGCTCCTTGTCCCGTCTGCTTTTCTGTCTGATGAAGTACATCCTGCTGATCTGGGTTTTACAGACCGTTGTATTTCCGGCATGCTATTTATGCTAAATATGCATTGTAAGACAAATCAAATAAAAAGGAATTTTTCAGGCTGATTTTCAGACTATTATTCCGCAAAGTCGCTGGCTTCATTCCAATTCACCATCTTGACTGTGTCGGAATGTACAGTTTGCTACATTTGAATACACATGTGTGATATAGTTATCTTTGGATCATCTTCATATTATTTAATATCAGAAAGGCTGTAGGCTTACTCAAACAATACAATACCACGTGTCTACTTATCTTACTTATGAACAACAGTCACTGTCTGTTGCTACTTCCAATTCATGCTTTTTATTTACCCTGTGAGATTTCAGAAGGTGAATTTTTCAGTGATGGATGATTTGATGATGATGACACACTCATAATTCATTTCCGCCTATCGACATCTGAGAGGTGTAAATTCACAGTGCATTTTTGAGGCATCTCTTTGAATATGATACTCGGAATTGTGATATCGAACTGCTTCTCGTGTATTTGTTGGAGTATGAATTCGACACTTCTCACAAATGATACATTGGTGAACAGTGGGGCAACATCAAAGGACAGCATTCACATCCAACTTACATTTACATCATGTAAATTTAAAATAAATTCAATGACACCTTCAACACTGAGATCGACAGCCTTCTTTTAAACACACATAAAATTCGATATGCTTGGAGCTACAGTTAGACAGTGGATATTTGTTAATTAACCGCCGTTCCTATAATCGAAGGTGCTTAATTCTTTGCAGAAGTAGAAGAGGTTTCATTATTTTCAGCCACACCTTTGATTTATATATATATATATAAATATATGTATATATATATGTATCCACAAATATCACTTCTGTACAGTGAGTTTTAGGAGGATAGGTTTCTGAAATCCACGCTTTACACTTCACTCATATCAATCAAATTCGCGATGTCTCGCCACACGCTCGATCTTGTAAAATACGACTTGTATTTCTGAAAAGCATCATTTCCTTACTTTTAAATGATAAGTAGCTTAAGCAGGTAAGTGACAATTTAGAGCCTAATATGTCTTCAATACCAACCTGCTATCATAACACTACGTATTTTCGGGTTACTACATGATCTCATGTATTATTTCAAACAGTTTGTAATTTTAATCTGTTTTAATGACATAATGATAAGACTTGAGCACTGTGGTAGAGTAAAATTCCATTATGGGCAAAATTTATTTTGATAAACTCTCACACTGTTAACCAGTAATATATATTGATGACGTTTCGAGCACAACTTATTTCTAAAAATCATTGTTCATACTTTGATATGATTAGATTAGGAGTAGTCAGACTATCAGAACAAAAGAATTACGCCTAATGTAGAACAATTGCCTCCGCGAAGTAAAGTGATTTATAGGGAAGCTCAGCGATTGCACTGCATGCATTTGCACACGACCACACAATATGGTGAGAGAGAGATAAATTTCTAAAACTTAATATAGGTAGGTTGAGAGACAGGTTGATTAATGAATCTTTTACCATAGAATCTACACCCAACACGTGTGAAAGGAATGACCCATCAGTTTGAGTAACTGAACCATGTCACGTTAGTTACTGAATGGCTAAATCTCTGCAAAACTAAAATATATTCGACCAATCAATTTTCATGTCTAGTTTCTAGC